CAGGGCCCGGCGCCCGGCGCGCCCGCGCCTACCTTCCCTCGGCCTGCCTTCGGCGCCGCTCTCCGAAATGTGTTTCAGCATATTCTTAGGTGTCCACACATGAACTCCATATCAGTACACACGTGAAAGCTACGTACGTGCAGGCGCGCTCGAGCCGGGAGCGGTGCACACGGAGAGCGGAGACGCGAGGGTGGCAGCATTGTTAGGCTCGGGCCATGCCCGGTCCACGGCGGGATGTGCGTGCGTGTGTGTGTGTGTGTGTGTGTGTGTGTGTGGGAGAGAGAGGGAGAGAGAGAGAGACATGGGCCTGTTCCACAGTGCTCGGGGTCTGGGATGGCACAGCGCTGGAGAAGCATTAATTCTTGCATTCACGTAATACAGTTCTAATCAATTCTCTGATCCTGTTGTCATAAAGAATTACAGGGATATCCTAAGTCCCTCATTTCATATGTGCAGAAGTAGGACTTCATAAAGAACTGGACCATCCGTTACCCATTTGGCAGAAATGCCACAAATTTGTGTGAGAAGCAGGTTATCTGCTACGGTGAGTGACCCTAGATCCAGCCAGAGATCCCTGAAGTGCATCGTTCAAGAAAGTCTTAGGGGGAAAAAGTCAGAAGTAAGTACACATATAGATTTCATGGATTGTCCTCGATGGTTTTTCTCTGCTGGGAGTAGAAGGAAAATTTATCAGCCAACATTTCTTACTTTCACTCTCATTCAACATATGTGCTTGAAAAGCATTAGAAAGAAATGACCTAGAAAGGTTGGGTTTCTTACCCGATTTGTCCATCTGCTTTCATAGCTAGTCTCGAAAACTATGTTAGAACTTAGAAATGGTCATTGATGTGCACCAGTTAAATAAAGATAATCCTTCAAACTGCTAACTGCCCTGCTTCTGATACATACATATATACATCTATCTCAGACAGTTTTTGTTATCGCCAAAAATCATAAAATAGTTTTAATTCACTTAGTAAAATATATATCATGAAAATTCAGTAGAGGGGTTACAAAGTTTCTGGGTCAAACGAAACCTTATCTGGATTGAATGCTGCACCAGGAATTGTAGCAGTCACCTTTTTGAAGTGAATCAGTTTTTTTTTGTCTGTTACTTCATCTATAAAACAGGGCTATAACAGTTCTGTATATTTCACAGAAGCCACTCAAGGTAGGACATCGTATCTGTCTAAAAGATATCTTACCTTTTAGGATAGAGATGGCTGCATAATTCCACATACAATTATATTTTGTAAGCATCATTTCAATTTTATACATAGACACCATCTCTTATTTTACCTAATGTAAGTTAAATAACTTAATGCCTGAACTTTGTATTGGTTTTGTGTAGAATATGCTGGGCTCTGTTTTCCCTTCACAGTTTTACTTACCCCATTTGTCCATCAACTGAGAGAATATTGGTGTGTGGATCTGGCGCTAATGGCTGGAAGTTGGGAGGAAACCAGGAGGACCAAAATAGTATGCAATCAAAGACATACTATAACGTTTTCTATTAAATTGTGAAGAGAGGGCAAAATTTTAAAAGCTGAGAGAAAAAAGGGCAAAGGGAAGAACAGTGGGCCTGCTTCAATCCAAATGTGTTTCTGAGACTTAGCCTGAGGGAGGGACCTGCCTAGCACAACCCTCATAATTCTTCCTTAATCTCGGCCAAAACTCTCTGTGCTTAATAATATCTCAGCAAATCACTTTTTCCCACGTTCTGCTTTGAGAATGTTATGCAAATAGAGAAGGCATGGACTGTTCAACAATTTGGGGTGGAAATTTTATTGCTTTAAAAATAAATTATATATTTACACAACATTCTTTTTACAAAGTCCAAATGATAAGTAATATAAGAACTGAAAATCTTTTCAAAAGGTAAAGGAAAATATAAGTGAACATTTGTAAGATGGCAGGTGGAGAAGAATATACAAAACCCTATAGCAGTGGGGTTGGGGTGAGTGTCCAAAGGTGAATGATGTTTGACTAAGTAGAACTTATAAATCCTGTATGTCAAAACAAGTATAGTCCTACTTTAAAATATGTCCATAAATAGTCCTTCTAGAAGAAAGTAGTCCTTCTAACACTCCTCCCCCTACTGTCTTCTCATAAGGACTGACTGGTACTGTGTTTCTTAGGACTTAGTTAGAGCCATGTTCACAGCTGTGTATAGTTGGAATGTCTTATGGAGTTCTCAGAGTGTTACTGGTTTGGTAATTGCTGGCATGTAGCAATAATAAACTTATGCACTAGTGTTGTTGAAATGCATGGTTTTTATTTATTTTGCCTTTACTGTTTTGGATTTTATGTTTTTGTTTCACATTAAAGGCTGAATTACATAAACATTGAGTATTATATGTATGCTTTGAGAACACAATTTTCACTGTACAGTACAGCATAGCTAAAAAAGCTTCATAATCATAGATGAGTACAATAAAGAAATGAGCGCACAGAAAATGTTATGTTCAGGTCTGTTTACTAATGCAAACTAGTGAAGTAAGTTGGTCCATTTAGGGAGACTTAGTATACATTCATGGGGATTCAGAAGCACATAGCATTTTGTCTAATTTAAAGTAATAGTAAAAAATAAAATAAAGTAATAGTGATTGTATTTTCAACTGACAAGAGTGTTTCATTTAGTAACAAATGACCTATTTAAACGGGGGAAGATTGTGCAGGTAAAATTAAATGATAAAGTTGGAGAAAATTTATGCAAGAAATAACCAGTGTACCAATCTTTAAAATTAAAAAGGTATGTCACATTAGTAGGACAGTTAGCAATATCTCCCTTCTCTTAACAAAAAAGAGAAAAAGCAAAGGCCCTGCATAATTTATAAGACAACAAATAGAGCTAGGTATGGTGGTGTATACCTATAATCACAGTATGCTGGGAGGCTGAGGCAGGAGAATCACAAGGTTGAGCTCAGCCTGGGCAACTTGGTGACTCCACAAGACTGTCTCAAAAGAAAGAAGAAAAAAGGGCTAGGGATATAACACAGTGGGAAGGCCCTGGGTTAAATCCCCAACAACACACATACACACACGTGTGCATGCACACATGCACACACTCAAGAAATGGAAACCATTAATAAATACAGATTCAGATTCACAAATAATAAAATGACAAAACAACATAGCAGCACTTTTCTTCATATGACAGAATTGCTTTTCAATGATAACGCTCCTGAGGGTTAGTGAAATGGACACCATTACACACTATTGGTAGGAAAGTGAATTGGTATGAACCCTCATGTAATATCTAGAGGCTTAAAAGAATTATATTTTAACCCACCCCCAAGTGCAGCCACATTTTAAAAGATCTACCTTCTGGAAAGATATCAGTTGACAGGCAGAAAACATCCAGACAGAAGAGATCTTTTTGCTCCCTCACTTAAAATCTTTCGACAATTTGTTACTGCATTTAGAATAAAATCCAAACCTTACTCTTGGCTCACAATACTCTGCATCATCTGGTTCCTGCCTGCCACCTAACTTGAACTTCATTCCTGCCTACTGACCTTTGCTCCATCACAGGACAGTGCTAGCTTGTTCTCTCCTGGAATGTCTTCCCTTTTTTCCCTACCCAATATTCCGGTGTCTGTTCAAATGTCACTTTTTACGAAAGGATCTTCTTACTGGGTGCAGTGGTACATCTTGTAATCCCAGCTACCAGGGAGGCTGAGGCAGGAAGTTCCTAAATTCAAGACCGGTCTGAGCAGTTTAACAAGATCCCATTTCAAAATATAAAGAACCACATATTGTTTAGAGTTTTGTTTTTTGTTTGTTTTTTTTTTGTTTCTTGTCTCTTTTTCTTTGAAATAAAAATTTAAAAAAAAACAAAATGTTAAGAATCAGAGGTTTATCTCTATGGTAGAGTACCTTTTGGTTCCGTTCCTAGTTTTTCTAAAAAGGGGAGCCTTCCTTATCTCCAATCTAAATTAGGTATTCTTGTATTTTCCTTCAAACACAAGATAATTTCTAAATCTATATTTATCTTCCAATTTATAGACAGGCAGATCTGTGCTCTCTGGAATACCCAGGTATCTAATACCATCATTCAGTGAAAAAGTGCTCAGGTAAAATTGGTGGTCTCATCTGAAAGTGAAGCATTGTTAAGATTTTAAGTTGTTTATTTTTAAATAACACACTCAAAATGGCTGTGTTAATTAGGTATTGTAGTTTCTCTTAATACATATAAATTAAAACTGTGTGGGGGCTGGGGATTTAGCTCAGTGGCAAAGCGCCTGCCTGGCAAGCGCAAGGTCGTGAGTTCGGTTCCCGGTACCGGAGAAAAACCAAAAAAAA